TGTGATGTCATGGCGCCGGTGACTATGCCCGGCAGCTTTCACTGCTGCGTCCGATGTCCTATGGACAGACTGTTAGTTTAGCTCATTTCTTACGAGCAGTAAGGAGACAGAACGAATGACGCAGAGGGCAGGTGATGCTGAGGCCATGAGAGCACAAGTAGAGATTAAGGTTTTCCATGAGAGAGCAGCGTGAGAGTCTGAACCTGAGGGCGGTTGGCTTGTGCTGAATCACTCCTGTTGACCTTTCCAGCTGTTCTTTCTAAACGTGAACATTTCATTGTGACCGGAAGTGATTTAACAGGAAGCCATGGCCTCTTTGCTCCAGGGCTCAACTTTAGGCCACAGTAGGGAATCGTAATGGTAACGTCTCTAAACAAACCCTCTGACCAGATTTTCAGCCATTTAAAAATGTATTTCCTTCCTTAATATTGGTCACATTTCTGGTTGCAGTTTGGCTGGTTAAGCCGAAGTTGGTCAACCAAGTGACACTTCACCAGTAACGCTTGCTGTTTTAGAGAAGCAACCAGCAGCTGATTTCTGCATAGAGTGCCAAGCCTGCATGCTGCTACAGGGGAGAAGATTACTGCTGATATCTTTATGTTCCTCACCTTTACAGATGGAGGAACTGGTGGATAAGGGGCATTTTATCATTAACGATGATTTGTCTCTTCTTCCTGATCATCTACCTGGGGCCTATCATGTTAATAATTGGGGTGAGTTCTGTCAGCTAGTAGGGTTTAAACTTCCGAATAGAAACCCCACAGAGAACCAGCAGAAGCCCGTCTCATGTTCCTCATCAATATGTTGGCTTCAGACAGCTTTTTAATGCATTGATTGAATTTATTATTTTATGGGTACTGTGTAGAGCATCCAGAGGTGGAAAGTTCACGTCCGGAAAGTACAAATCCAGACCAAGGTTTTGTTTCAACCGACCAGTTGTGTATTCTGTGACTGTGACTCTTTAAACTCAACTGGTTGGTGGAAACAAAACCTTGGTCTGGATTTGTACTTTCTGGATCTGAAATTATTACCCTTGGGAGCATCCAGATTGGGGAAAACAATTGTTGTGATTTAATAACAAGGTTCTGGTGGTCCACTGACCCTCCAGTTAAATCTGCACTACTGAAGTTGATTTGGAGTTGATATGAGCCAACCCCATATATTAAGAAAAATGCAGTGCTGCCAGTGGATCATATTTCCATAACATCTATTTGTACTAACTGTTTGCACATCATGATACTACAACGGCATTAATAGTCTGGAGTTTTCACAGCTGCGATTAAACACTGTTGTTGTTATGTTGAGCCGGCTTATTGAATGTCTCTGTATCACCTCAGGTCATGGTGGTTCAGATCAAGTGTTTCCAGGAAATCATAACCATTGGGTACAGAGTCTACCACTCCTATGAACTGCCGTGGTTCAGGACACTCAGCTGGTAAGAATCCTTGTGGTGTAATGTAAGAGCTGAGTAGTGACTTTCTGGGAAGCACGAATATTGTCACCAAGCTCCTCGTAGTCTTGGAAATTTGGATAATAAAGTTGCAAAGCCCTTGGTTGTTTTACCGTGTAGACCTGGGGTAGGTAGGGAAGGAGTGGGAATTCTGACCAGGCTGTCTGTCCTGTATGATCTGGAAGCTCCCAACGGGGAGTTTGTGTTCAGTCAGCCGTAGATGCAGCAATTCTCACTTCTGTGCAGGTTCTTCTTGATTTGCGCAAACTACTTCTTCTATGGGGAGACAGTGGCCGACTACTTCGGCGTCCTGGTCCAAAAGGAGGAGCCTTTGCAGTTCCTTGTACGATATCACCGCTTCATTTCATTCACACTCTACCTGACAGGTGAGTAGGTGGGACTATCATGACCTGGAGTCAAAGCTGCGATTGAACAGTTGCTTCTGATTGGAAGTCTCACTTTGCGTGTTGAAGTGCTATAAAACTTATCAGACTAAACTTTGCCCCCAGACTGAGACGGGAAGACCAGCGGGTTGAACTCTGTGAGGCTTATTTATAGAGGTTCTCTGCTTGCATCACTTCATATTCAGCTGTATAATGTGGTGTCTCTGAAGAGAGAACCTCATTTTAAAACCACTTAAGGTGCTTGATAAGTGTACAGAGAAATTGAACACCGTACTGTAAAGATGAGTCTCTTTCACAAGATTGATGCAATGCTCCACTAACAGGGGCAAGCAGGGCATTTACAGAGGAACACTAGCGCCCCCTGCTGTTCAGTGGTCTGGCCTGGATGACTGAGGCTGTATCTTACCTGACAGGAGTTCAGGGGACTTGATAGGTCTGTTACGGTGTTTGTACGTAATTCTCATGGCATCTTCCTCTCTTTGGCAGGTTTCTGCATGTTTGTCCTGAGTTTAGTGAAGAAGCACTATCGGCTGCAGTTTTACATGGTTTGTACTCTGGCTTAGCCACTCGTACTAATCCCACACCAATCAGAGGAGCAGAGCTAGTCACCACAACGTCCCAAAGGCAGGAATCAGTTCAGGAATGTTCCAGAATGTTTCTCACATATTTGTCATTTGCCACCTGAGATGGAGAGAGTAACATACCTTACATTACACTAAGGGTGTAGGCCTTGGGCCCTCGGAAACGGGTGTGTGGGATTGCTTTAAGGTCACAGCATGTCCTCATTTAGGGAGACCCCTGGTGGACATACAGCCATCCTGCAGTTTTGGGGAACGGGATTGTTAAGCTGCCTTTAGGCTGCTCTCGGGTGGGGCAGGCCTGTGGCTTCTGTGCTGCCCGCTAACAGGCCTTCCTGCGTGTCTCTGCCATTTCAGTTTGCTTGGACCCATGTGACTCTGCTGATTGTGGTCACTCAGTCACACCTTGTGATTCAGAATCTGTTTGAAGGGATGATCTGGTAAGTAGGAACACAGCTGCCCGTTAAACTGGCTGTGAGTGAGTGTGAGGCGCATGTTTGGATGCAATTTGCGGTGAAAAACGTGCCCTGTGAGTAAGGTCCTGTGTCACGTTCTGTTATCATTTTCCTGTTCAGTTCTGATCCGTACAGACTGTTATGACCATTATCTAATGAATGACAGAGTGCAGTGAAAGCTCATTAATATGCCTATAAAGAGTAAATGTGATCAATTCTCAGCCTCTAGCTGGACCTGTATTGGCTTCTCTGAATAATGAAGATCTGTATTATTCTGTCCGATCACATCATCATAACCAACATCCAAAAGGCTGTTTGATTGTTAATATTCAGTACATTTCTCATTTCTTTACAGGTTCATCGTTCCCATATCCATCGTGATTTGTAATGACATAACTGCATATCTGTTTGGATTCTTTTTTGGAAGGACGCCTTTGATTAAGGTATGGAGAGAATATCCAATTTTCACTGCTCTGCTAAATACTCCTGTCTTCCAAACCACATTACAACCGTCAGAATCAGCACAACAATGTATGGGAGGTTTAGTGTCAGACAGGTGTATTTGAAGAGTTTAGGGGGCAGAACTTGCTTGACCAGTTATCAGTCTAGCTCAGTTTTTCTGAACCATAGCCAAACAATCGAGCCATCGAGGACCCAGAATACCTCTGACAGGTGTGTTAGTGGCTGGGAGGGAGCAAAAATGTGGACTTTCTGGAGGTTCCTGAGGACTGTGCTGACATTCACTGGTCTAGCTAAAACTGCACCCTCTTTAGCCAAAACTGTTAAAGGAAGAGTCCTTCATTTACAAAGCTGTCATGTGACCCCGTAGCTCTCTCCAAAGAAGACGTGGGAAGGTTTCATCGGAGGGTTTGTCTCCACGGTGATCTTCGGATTTATTGTAAGTGGCTGTTGTTCTTGTCTGGAGACCCTGGCGGCCCCCTCCTGGGTTCGGGTCATGTGACCGCTTTGTCTCTGCCCTCCCCATGTGCAGTTAGCCTACCCCCTGGCTCATTATCAGTACTTTGTCTGCCCGGTGGAGTATGACAGCGAAACGAACCGCTTCGCAGTGGCCTGCCAGCCCTCGGAGCTCTTCCTGCTGCATGAATACCGGCCCCCCAAGCTGCTGCAGCAGTTCCTGCGACAGGTGGGAGCCTGAGGCTGTGGCCTGTCTGCATCTAATTGCTTGGACGCATGTGACACTCTGCAGCTCCCTACTGGGATCCGGGAGGGAGCAGAAACTGGACCATCTGGGGTTCCCCGAAGACTGGGTGGTGCATTATAGGTTGTACACTATAATGACTGCCCCCTCCCCCCCCCCCCCACAGGAGACGGTGACACTCTTCCCCTTCCAGATCCACAGCGTCGCCCTCTCCACCTTTGCCTCTCTCATAGGGCCATTTGGGGGCTTCTTTGCCAGTGGATTCAAGAGAGCTTTCAAGATCAAAGTAAGAGGCCGCGTGCCGAGCCGAGCTGAGCCCAATCGGCTTCTCGCACGCCGTTGTCTGTCACTTTCCCCCCACCACACTCTCGTTTGCCCTCTAGGATTTCGCGGACACTATTCCGGGCCATGGTGGCATCATGGACCGCTTCGACTGCCAGTATCTGATGGCGACGTTTGTTCACGTTTACATAGCAAGTTTTATCAGGTAATCAATCAATCAGACAGACAGACAGACTGGTCTTCACATTATGGCTGCTGTTAAAGGCACATGGCCTGGGGTTTGTCTACAGGTTGATATTCCTGGGGCCCTGTGCGTGTTTGTGGTCCCTGTATCTGTTCGGGGTCTGTGTGCATGTTCATGGCCCCTGTGGGTGTTTGGGGCCCCTGTGGGTGTTTGTGGCCCCTGTAGTTGTCTGGCTTGTGACCCTCCTGCCTCTTTTCCAGGGGCCCCAACCCAAGCAAAGTATTACAGCAGCTGCTACTACTGCAGCCGGAGCAGCAGCGCAGCATCTTCAACCTGCTGCGCTCCCACCTGCGGGAAAAGGGCATGTTGCCCCCGACTGGAAGCCAGGCGCAGTGAGGGCCGGAGATGGACCGCTGGCCCTGTCCAGCTCGCCATGGAACCGCCTGGAGCATCTTAGCATCTATGCTTACCAAAAACATGCTAGTAATTACAGACAATTAATGCCGAGCGGTCACCCCGGCAACGGGTTGCCATGGGGTTTGCATGACGACTTGAAGAGGGGGCAGTGGGCTGAGGATGCTGCTGCCCATTTTCTTGCACTGATACTAATGGGTCTTTCAAGAAGGGGGGGGGTGTGCAGACTTTGCCCCTATTACTGTTGATGTACGGGGAACATGGATGGTAATCTCTACTTTCAAATGGTCCCAATAAGCTGGCCTAGTGCAGTCTTTATCTTTGGGGTCTTTGTGGTCTTGGTCTCTTTCGAGGACTGAAACCTCTCAGATGTCTCTGAGAAGCTGTGACCCCTCCCTTCCCCCACATATGTCTGGATTGACTCTCATTGGCATGGCAATACGTTAATGCAGATCTATAATAACAATGCACAGTGTACAGACGTACGTTCACACATATATACAAAAAACGAAACTTAATAGTATACGACTTTTCGACTCCTATTCAAGAGTTAGAGGTTATGCAGAAATTATATCTCTTTTGTTAGTGTTTAGATCACGGGTGGGCAATCTTACCCGCAAAGGGTCTGTGTGTGTGCAGGTGTTTGGGATAACCTGTAGGTCAGCTGTTCAAACCCAGGTGTGAGGACTCTTCAACCAATCAGTCCTCTAATTAGTGACCTAATTAGGGAGTTGCAGCAAAAACCTGCATACACACTGGCCCTTTGTGGATAAGATTGCCCACCCCTGGTTTAAACTCTAACTTACTTCAGGTTTTATAGACTCCCATTACGGCGGAGTGGCTTGCTAGCCAGAGACGCTGTTTGCTCAAACTGCAGCCACTCTGAGTCTCACTGGTTTCACCAGGCTGAACCACCGGGCTGCTGCGAACGTTCGGACCCCCCTAACCCTAACCCTAAACCTAACCCTAACCCTAACCCCCCTAACCATAACCCCCCTAACCCTAACCCTAACCCTCCTCGCGTCTGCATCTTACTTTTTATTAGCTCTGCACTTCCTGACTATTTTCTCTCTTGTAAAAAGAGCATTTTGAATTTTTGAATGATACAGTGAGATGATAAACTTTGTTTTTAACTGGTTAAGATTGAAACTTGATGAAAGTCTGTTTCGTACCCTTAGCGCTGAGGGCTTTAATGTTTATTTACATGGGGGGAGGTTACACAAAGCTATTGCAAGGCAGTTTGGTTGAATCACATTACGTATTCCCTCTAAAAACCCATGAGAACATCAGTTCAGTGCATTTGATCTGCAACAATAGGCCTCGTGCACGTTTTGATTGGCTACGAGGAAATAATTGTTTACTTTAGCAACGGCGGTACTTGAATGGGTTTGAGTTGTCTTTAACATAGATTTTCTCCTCTTATATACTTGTCCTGTTTCTTTTTCCCATCATCATTTTATCTCTTTTCGGTTGTGTCACTTCTTCTTTTTCTCAAAAGTATATTTAGAGAGTTAGTGGGGTTTGTGGACCAGCTAAATGTCTAATAGCATGAACTGCTCACAGTAAGTCTTTCCACTGACTAGTCATGTACTTTTACCCGAAAAGCAGAACTCTGTGATGTACGACATTAGAAAGTGGGGTCTGTCATTTTATTAAGTTATTTTGTTGTTTTATGGTACCATTGGTTTATTATGTGTAATTGCTGCTGCAAAGAATGGCCTAAAATTTTTAATTATCTGCATTGGCAGATAGGAGTTGATTTTTATTTTTTTTTGAAAATGTTTTAATTTGATCATTGTTTTTAACTCTGTTTTTGGTTAGATTTTATTCACAGTCCATGTAAAGGATTATATGATATAGACCTTATATAACTTGAAGGTGGTTTGATTTAATAGTTCTGTTAAAAAACAGGACAGTGGAGAATTGTCACACAAGAACAAAGGTAGCAATGTTTGCTTTATCAAAAGATTTAATTATCATTACTACTGTTATAATTATTACAGGATTTGACTGTATATAGTGGCGTTAAATAAAGGCTGTATTATTTCTTTGTGATAACTTTTATTTTAATATTATTGACTGGGTGTCCCTGGACACCATTTGACAGATTTTGTGCTGTGTGGAAAATTACCAGTAACATGTGACTATTAAGGTGATGTCATCAGCTAAGAATTGGATTCCTCCTGAGGTAGTTTAGCTTCATGACTATGGAAGACCTTAGAATTGAGTTCCGCCCTGATCTAGTATAACTGGTACTCCGTTGTAAATTTCAAGGATTAAGTTCCGCAACTGACTGGTATGACTGGTTATCTCTTGAGAGCGTGAGGAATTGACATGCCCACATGGTCTTTGTGACTTTTATTCAAAAAGGTGAGGATTGTTCTGAGTTAGGGTGTCGTCTGTTGGGCTGTTGGAGTCCCTGTAGCGTTTACCTGGATGGCCTGAGGAGAGCGTTCACTGAGATCAGCTGTAGGATATTATCTTCACCCTAAGCCTGAAGATGCAGCCCATCCCGTGCCACTTGACGGCTAACAGTTTCTTCTTGCTCACAGTCAGCCCGAGACGCAGCGGCTCGTCTCCAAGACTCTGTTTCTCAGCGTCGTTTATTACGCACTGCACATTCAGTCTGGATGCAGTGATCCAGTGTGAGGCAGAGTAGCTTAGGGCTCTGGGCGCTGAAGCGCCTCCAGCCTCAGACTGGTATTTGGCCTGTGGAGAACAGCTACTGGAGGGTCACTGCTTGAGGAGGACAGGCTGGTGTCCAGGACGGTTTTTTTCTGTGAGCTAATCGCCAGCTGAGGCGACTTTCTACATGCGGCAAGAGCAGCTCCAGTGTGGTCAGTGCGGCTGTGGCTGGGGCGGCGTTATAGACGCAGGGACTCTGTCTGCGATCGTTGAGCTGCCTTTATGGAATCGCCACCCCAGTCGTGAGGAGCACCTTCATGGAGGGTCGGTGACGGTCTGTTTTATGCTGTGAAAAGTTCACTGATGAGGTGCTGGATGGTCTGCGAGGTCTACAGCGGGGTCTGCTCTCCCTCCACCGCCCCTCCCCACGTTATGGATGAGCACACATATGTGCAGTGTTCCTCCATCCCTAATGATTTGTTTTTCTCCGAGAGCGCAGACTGCGTACTCCCCTGAGTGATACATGTCCAGAGGCGGATGGAGCAGCAAACCAGATGGGGGCGTGGGCACCCTGTGATGGACTGGCACTCCACCCACTGCCCCGGCCTTGTTTCCTGTGTTTGTAGATGGGCTTCACCCCCCACCCCCCTTGTCCTGGATAATTGGTTATTTGTTGTGAAGGTGGATGGATTTAACTTACCCGTTATTTTTAATTATGAATAAAAGTGATCGACTCAAATATGAAAAATAGCTAAACCATCTTAAACCGTTTTCACAAAATGTCACAAATACATATGCTGATTATACTGAGAAACAGTTTTATGTGTTCAATGCATTTCTGTTCAAGTATTTTGCAGTTTTACATTTCTAAACAACATTTTGTACACATGGCCTGGTAGTTAATATGATATTTTTCCATGATCGTTAAGTTGTGATCGAAAAAAGTTGTTGCCCCGAGGGGTAACTGTGGTAAAAGTAACCTTTTATTATAAAAAAAAATCACTCACACTGCGACCTGCCAGTTGAGAAACACTGATTTCATATCATGAATACATACAGCTAATTGTCACGTGAGCCTGAATAAAGAGCAAAGGTCCAACAGAACCACCACCTCACTGCTCCTTTTATGAATGTTTCTATCCTTATATGGCTGCTTCCTGTTAGGTTGCCCCAGTGACGGGGTAGGGGGTGGGGCTTTCCCGTAGTGGCCCCTCCCATTTGGACCGCAGGAGTCTCAGCAGAGCCAGCCAGGCTTGTACAGCGTAGCGCAGCACCAGGAAAGCTAAGGGCACAGTGACTCCCATCAGGTGGAAGACAAAGGCGCTGGAGCGGCCCGGAGCAGAGGCCAGGCAGAAGGTGCCCAGGGCAGCACAGGGGTACAGCGCCAGCTTGGCCAGCATGAAGGCGTGGTTGCGTCCGCGGTAATGCACGTAGGGGTGCAGGGCCCCGCCCCCGGCCGCCAGTGCCACCACCCAGATGGCGAGCTGGAAGAAGCCGGCCAAGAAGAGGATGACGCAGCTGATCTGCACGGCCTCCCGCTCGTTCAGCGAGCTCTGCGGCAGCTCGTGGGTCAGCTGGTAGCACAGGGGCAGGCCGCCGACGAAAGCCAGGGAGAAGGTGTTGAGGAGCCCCATAGTGCGGGTGGGCCTGACCACATGCAGGAAGAGGGAGTGATGCACACACCAGAGCAGGCCTACTGTGGCGAAGGAGCCAAAGTAGGCCAGGAAGTTGGGGCCATACTCCTGCAGAGCCACAGTCAAGCTGCCATTGAACCTGTCCTTCAACTCGCTGGGCTCTGGGATGTTGTCTTCACTGCCCCCACATCCAGGAGAGAGAAGTGTGGTTAGCGGATGACAGGAGGGGCAACAGGGGGAATAATACAGGAAGCCACAGAGGATAGTACAGCCTGATGAGTGATGGAGTAGTTCAGTCAGTATTTACTGCTAATCATCAGCTGCCGTTATGGCTGTGTGTGTGTAGATCAAGTGGGGATCGTGACCGCCAGAAGAGAAATTGGAAAATGATCAGTAAAATGTTCCACCCTGATCGGCAAAATCTAGTGATCGCATATCTCTGGCGCTGTTATTTTGAGGGTTGTGGGCTGTAATGTGTGCAAAACAATAATATTAATGACAATAACGATAATAGACTCACCATATGTCTAAAATGAGGAGAGTGGCTACGATGGCATAGACTCCGTCAGTGAAACCTTCTAGACGCTCTTTGGAAAGAGGCTCCCAGGGGTGGTAAGAGTAGTGCCCAACGGCATCAGTTGGGGGCGCAGTCTGCATACCTGACAGCAACATACAGTGCATTAGTGTGGTTTTTTATGATTAATTCTAAGACAGTTTTATATGTAATAAGCCATATTTAATTATAATTTAAATAAAGTCTAGCTAGAAATTCTTCTGAATAAAAATAGTGAAAAGATCATCAGGTTTAATAGTGATGCCAAATGAAGCTCCGTGAACCATTTGCTGTTTTTTCTGACCCCACTAGATGGTGCTCTTGGTTTGCTTTGAACCCTTTTATGAACAGAGAGCACCATCTAGTGGGGTCAAATAAAAACTGCAAATGGTTCCTGAAGCTACATTTGCCCATTACCAGGGTTTAGTACTTCTAGCACTCGTGTCAGGAACTTACATCTGCCATAGGATGTAGAATCCTGCTGTGTGAATATCTGAGAACCTAAATAAAAATGTAACTTTCTTACCAATGAGTTTTCTGTAACACCGTTTCAAAGATTGAGAGATGTAGGGAAGGAAGACAGCAAAGACCAAGGTGACAAATGACTGTGGAATAAAACAAGGGTGGTAATATCAGCTGACACATTCCATTAAATGAATGTGGCATGTTTGAACAATTACACGCACAATTGCTGCTCACCAGGGGGATGCAGACAAAGGAGACGGAGGCTGCGATGAGGCACAGGAGCGGTACTCTCAGGATAACTTTTAAAATGTGCCTTTTGTGAAGCGTGTGCGTCTCGTTCAGGAAGCGCGGGTGGCTGAACCCATAGAGGACGACGGCGGCCTGCGCATGGAGAGGCGACTGTCTCACGCGCCGCTGAACCTCCGACAACTGGCTGTCCGTCACGCAGCGACTCGGAGCTTACCTGCATCAGGCCAATCATCATGACACAGGCGCAAAAGAGGTTTAATCCCAAGATGTTGTCCGGGAAGGCAGCAATCAGGGAAAACTGTGGAAGGGGATTCGGGCAGTAACAAGGGTTCAGCATTGGGTGGACTGAGGTTTCTACCCGTTTAAGGCATGTTTATATATTTTTCTTAATAAATAAAATGAAAATCCCCTTCAGGGTTTTTGTACAGAAAGGAGAAGGAAACGCACCGTGTAGGGAAGGAACGTTATCAACATCATACATGCCTGGAAAAGGAAGATAAAGAAGCAGCTTATCAGCATCAGCAAGGTCTAATATGTTCAAACAATGACTGCAGCTTTTAGTGCAGTGAAAAACAGCCCTGAGTACAGATGTGAACGCAGATGTGTGGAAGGGTTCAGTTTTGCCAGCATTTCCTTGCCGCCATGAGTGAGCAGAGCATAGACGACTTAAACAGGGATCATGAGCCCAGCCTGTACTCATTTTACTACAGGATCACTGCCAGCCCAAGGCGGCAAAATGATCACTAGCCCAGCGTGAGTCTGAGCGCCGGTGTCCACAGATCAGCGTGACAATAAGCAGGCTTTACACTCACTAGATTCAAGAGTGAGAGGCAGTCATCGACTCGAGTGATTACTTCAAATAACCTGTGAATGGAAAAACAAGAATGCAGGCTGTTCTATGGCAAAATTAGAAAAAAATAACCATTTCTAAGGACCACATAAGGAAATCACAATAATAACGGTGAATCTGATAGCAAATAGCGCAGGAAATAAATTCATCATGTGAACTCTCTGTGTACTGAGGGTCTGTGTGCGAAGATCTCAACCTGCAGCTTAGTGGTGGCATGTCAAGCATGATGGTTAAAAGCCTTTTCCCTACCTTGTATGGGCAGACCATGCCATAGAGACCAGGAGGAAGCTCATCAGGTACACGGCGATCTTGGTCGTCAGGAGCAACTCCAGATTGTGATGCAACTCCTCATGTCCGGAGAGCGAAAAGAAAATGAAAAACTGAAGCCGATGTGAGGGCCAGTGAGGTGCCGTGTGCGCTCGTGTACCTCGTCATCTTCAAGTTTGGTGTGTGCGACAGGCAGGATCTGAAAAAGAGCATGAGAGTTGAGATTTTCTATCCGTTTCTCTGTTTATGACGGCTGAGATGGGTAACTGCTGTTTTTCTTCTTACCATGACGGTTGCTATGATGGAAATGAGAGCGTCGCTATAGGCCAGCAGCCGGTGAGAGGACTGCGTGCTGCTGTGTTCATCCTTATCCAAAAGGGCCTCGCTCTCGGAGAGAGAGGAAGCCGGTCTCCTTCCGGGATCCCCCTCTCGCTCCTCGTCGCCGCCGTGGTGATAGCGGGCTCTCTCGGCGTCCTCGCTCCCTGCCATCTGCAGCCTCCCCACGTGCTGCCCTGAGCAGTGGTGCCCGTGTCTGTACTGCGGGTGCTGTGGTGCTGCCTCAGCTGTTGGCTGGCACAGGAATGGGGAAGCTGGGCAGTTAAAATGCAGCAGAATCCCGACTCAGGAAGTGACCCAATCCAAGTGACCCAAAACACACTTTTTAAAATTCCATACCGACACTGTAACTGAGGCTCAGCTGATGGCTTGTGATAATTAAACTAGGCTCCCACCACCCTGCTCAGCAAGTTTAAGGAAACCCCACCTTTTTTGATGGCTCACCAAATGTACAGGTTTTTATCACCCATCTCGCTGTTCTTGCTGCAGCGTGGAGTGTCATGATGACACCTGTGTGATTTATGGCCTGAAAATGCTGAGGTTTCCTCAGCTGTGGTCTGTCTCCTGACTAAGACTCCACAGGAACAACCCACACAGCCCACATGATCATCAGAAGCTCAACCACCAAGATGTTGGGTGGAATGTTACAGGGTGAAAGGGTTTGGAAAGTCATTCTGGGATGATGCTGCCTCGTAGAGTACAATTTAAATTTAGGGTTAAGTCACGGGGAGCAGAGGGTGTGATGAACACGCCCATTTCATGTTATTGTGTAAGGATACTTTACGTCACGTTTCTCTCTTTTTATTTTTTTTTACATAGATGACCTTTCACTCTATATGGGGGGGGGGTAGAGGAAGTCACGGGACCATGTGACACACGGCAGGGGCATCTTTGGAGGCCTTTTTGTCGTATTGATTTGTCCTAATGAGTCAACACACCATCACCATGTCTGTATGTGTTTCCTTTCTATGATGTCAGCTTTCTTAATGTCTGTGCTTTTTGGCGACGTGCTCCATCTGGGGGGACGCGACACAAACTGAAAACAACACACCAAAGATCGCGGTTAAACATGTATTTTTTAGACACGACCACTATCACACTTCCTATAGCTAATCAATATCTCATTGACTTTTTCCTCTACTAATTAAGTTCACTCATTAATTGAGTTGGTGGTGAAATGTAACAAACACATGGAACGGCTGAGGTGCCCCTGAGGAGAGGTTTGGGAACTGAAGCGGTGTTCATCTAGCCGTCCAACTAGATATCAGTAACTTTTTGGAGAACAGAAGAGATTTTTACTAATTTTTATTCTGTAACTCTTAATTTCCATTTGTTCTAATATTAAATTGTGTTTTTTGTTCTGAGTATATGTACACCCACTACCCAGATAAATAGCTTTAAACATTTTTTTTCACTGACTAAGACTTTTGCACAGTACTGTGTGTATTTTCTTACTTTGCTACACAAAGCCATACTGGGGACACTGGACGGAGAGAGCGGCATAGGGCCCAGGAACGTAGAATAAGCCTGCAGTGGATTTGAAAGCAGAATCGTGATGAAGGAGGGCTGTCTCCTGTTGGTCCTCCTCATCACCATCGAGACTCTGTGACTGAGTAGCTGGTCCAGATGATTTCCCACAGTGTATCTCCGGTCACCCTGATCCTTCCTGACACGTCCACCAGGTGGGGCTCCAGCGTAACCTCGGGGCACTACTGAGGGGTCCAGGAGACCCATTACCTCGACACAGACTGGCAGTTTAATATCATCCCACCCTTTTATAAAATCAACACACCGTTTGCCGAGGAGGAAGACGGCTCACTCTGTTACGGAGCTGACAGCACCAGTATGTGATTAAACAGGCCACAGCGTGTTCACCGGAGCTAGAGGAGATAGGGTGAATGGTAGAAATTCTGAGTCTTGGGGAGGGATTTCGGTAGTGATCTGTTATCCATTAAAGCAAGAAAAGTCAGAACTAAAAATATCAAGGTGGTTATTAGATTTTTAATTGCAAACAGGAAAATACATGGTTCTTATCTAGTCTCAACCTTCTGGAAAGTACCTATTAAACCTTTCCCATAACTGGCACGTATGCGGACACCTTGGTACATGTCTCACTCCTGCCATATGCCACACAGACACTCGCAGATCAGACTCTCGGACGTCACTTACCAGCTAAGTCGTTGTCATGAAATCCAAAAATCCTGTGGCCTGTACTTCGAAGCGGGGTTACTGGCTTATCGGGGTAACTTGTCGGATTTAAGGTACCACAGTTACCACAGATTTTAAGGTACCACAGGACTTCATATTCATTCACTTTTTTTTTGCCAAGACTACCTTAAATCCGACAAGTTACCCCGATAAGCCAGTAACCCCACTTCGTAGTACAGGCCACCGATGTCTGAGGTTAACCAATTCTAGCTTATTCAGGAAGATCTAGGAGTTTTTGTTACCCAATGTTCAGAAGCACAGACCCCAACCTGGAAAACAGTAGCCTGTCTGTCTGGGCTCTTGGTCACCATATTCTTGGCAAATGGGCCTTCAGGCATGGCTAACCCTGTTTCAGAAACCTGTTGGGACATGCCCACAGCTTGTGGTTGAAGGTCACAGGAAATCTGACCTGTCCATTGTGTAAGGATCGCAGGTCTGCCTAGACGTGTCAGCACACACATTCGAACAGAAAGTCATTGTTTCCAAACCAGTCCGTTCCAGTTCTTTGGGGACACTCGGATTCTGGACCCCACACCAATCACCAGTGGTCCATTTTCCATAAGTATTGTAGATTCAAGACAACTGAAGGGTCCATGAGGGCCATTGAAATTACCATCATCCTAGTGCCATAGTGCTTTTGGGAAACACTCCCTTGCTCTGCTCACAAAGCTCCTGACTTCCTTGTCTACCTGCCTGTGACTTGCGCAATGCAATCTCTTAGCCAGGAAAAATACATTAACTGAAATACACCATTTCCCACAAACAGTTGCTGTAGACCCTAAGTAACATTTGGCTTGACCCTTGCCCTAACATTCACACACACACACACACACACACACACACACACACACAAAGGTTTGTAATTATAACTTTGTGGGGAATCTCTATTCATTTCTATGGGGAAAACTGTAATCCCAATATGACGATCGTAGCCCCTACCCAGCCCTAACCCTAATCAGTAAGTAATGAAACAAAATATGAGACTTTTGACCTGAAAAATGGTCCTCACAACATCAAAATAACAGGTTTTTGTTACATTCTGGGGGACATTTGGTCTCACAATATAATATAAAGATAATCCACACACACACACACACATTGGGTACCGCTCATTCATTTCTATGGGAAAAATGCTAACGCTAACTATGACAACCTTAACTCCTACCCAGCCTTAACCATAACCATAAGTAACCAAGCAAAATGAAGAGCTTTTGCATTTTTAGTTTTTTCATTGCAGTCACAAATTTTTATTAAATTGAGTTTTCCTATATGGGGACCATTTAAAAAACAGGTATTAATCACGTTGTGGATACTTTGTCTCACCATAAGGTAAGGTATACCCGCTCTCTCACACACACACACACACACACAATTGCAGGTCTCAGTATGTTTTCCATAGATAGCCCCCCCCCTGGTGATATCTGGGACTCTTAGTCTGACTGTATATAAAATACAATACAAAATTCAGAAGCTTAGTTATGGTTGGAGGCATTGAAATTCTAGAACATCAGCCCACTTCAGAGACCAACTGGGTAAGAATTGAGTTCAATGACTGCAAAAGATGACCAGCCATGAGAAAGACTAACAGAGGTAATGTCTGGGATGAGGGGTGACGGTGAGATGAAGGAGCTGGTGGTTTCCATGGAAGCTGTTAGGCCGCAGACCATCTGTCACTGTGTCTTCTGTTAATGTATCACCCGTGACAACGGCAACCCAACATGATCCAGTCCTTGAGTCTGGACAGCCCCCCCCCCCCCCCAATTCATGACACATGGGCTGGATGACCAGACAAGGGGTTTGATGTAAGGAACCAGAGCAGGATACAAAGACACCCAGCTGTAAAGGACAATCCGTCTGTCAGTTTGGACAAAAGTTTCAGCTAAGCAGTTAAAAGTCTCAATTCCATGTAAGATTAGAGGAGCATAAGCTAATTTGCTGGCTAATTTAACTTTACATTAGCAGTGGCTGAAATTACATCAAACTAACAAACCCAATAATTACAAACCTCTAGATTGTTCAATTAAAAATGAATTTCAGACAGATGGCTTTTGATTAATAAGTTGGAAAGCTCAGTGAAATGTCAGCGTATGAATAATCACACTGTATACAGACAGGAAAGGAAGAGTTGAAGGATGGGAGCCTCTGCAATATTACTGTTTGTTATATAAATACCTCAGTAGGTGGCATGGAGGCTAACACGTCCAGGGTAGCGGGTTTGAGTCCCACGTCTGTTGTGTGTGTGGAGTGTGTGTGTTCTCCATGTGTCCTTACACTGTCCAATGACATGAAGTCAGACTGACACAGTGTTTCTCAAATCGGTCCTCTGGGACCCCAACTGGGAGGGAGCAAAAATGTGGACTTTCTGACAGGGAGCTGGGAGGGAGCAAAAATGTGGACTTTCTGACAGGGAGCTGGGAGGGAGCAAAAATGTGGACTTTCTGACAGGGAGCTGGGAGGGAGCAAAAATGTGGACTTTCTGACAGGGAGCTGGGAGGGAGCAAAAATGTGGACCGTTTGGGGGTCCCCAAGGGTCAGATTGAGAAACACTGAACTAACAGTCTCCAAATTGCCTGTAATGTGTTTACCTGCCTATATGTGTGTTTATGTGTAGTTCGTCCTAGTGCCCTGTCTGGGTTAGACTACAGGCCCTCTTATAAGCCTGACCCGGATCTGCGGTTGGAAGATCTGCACAAAAGCACGAGTTAAAAATGCTGGCAGGAGAAACCCCAATGCACTCTGAAAGTGGAGCTGAAACATCAGACAAACCTGCCACTAACTGCTATCAAACCACTCGGACTGATTATATCGTGTGACTGGTGTTTCAGTGGTTCGCTATGAAATCACCAGGCCTGGACTGCTCCAGATGGCAAGATCCTCACTGGGATTTGTATGAAACTGCCAAATCCTGCCCCTGCCCTGCCCAAAATAGGGAACATATGACATTCTGTAATTTCAGTGGGATTCCCATTTATTACATAATTAATTATGTTAACCAATTTAGGCTATCCCAGAGACTGGGGGTCATGTTCTGATTGTTCAGCGGGGTTATCTTTAACCTGAACTGATGAAAATCTTGAACCTTAGCCCTGATGAAAAGCCAAGGTTAAATGATGCATTACTTCAGGTAAAAGAGTCAGCTAAGCGAAGTGCATCTAAATTTAAGGTACTGAATTCAACCTGGGCACCACAAGGGGGCAACAATGAGTCATTTCGTCCTCCAGGGACCAAGGAGGCACTGGCAGGACATGCAGTTAGTGGCGTAAAGACAAAGGAAGCTCAAGTGCAGTGATTTTTCACTAAAACCCAGAATATAATGGGCTAACATATTACCAGAATCGGAAATGTTTTATTATCCCGAAGGAAAATGACTGCAAATTACACAACCAAACAAGACAAAAATACAATAATCCCAGTTTAAGAATGGATAAATATGACATCAACAGATGATAAATAAGTATGTGGGTGAATATGGCAATAAGTATGGTAAATATTGCATTTACAAGATAATAAATAGGCAAATATTGATAAGAAAATAGCTATATAAAAATAGGTACATATTGTTGCACATTTCCTGATTGATCAATTTACCAATTGTACAGTCTTATGGCTGTTGGAAGGAACGATTTACAGGTGTTCTATCATACATTTTATGCTGATCAGTCTTTGGCTGAAAGTTCTCACTGTGAAGCGATGCTGAGAAGCGAGTGATGGACCAAAGTCTGGCCAGCATCCTCCTCTCCGCCGGTACCGATAGTGTCCAGCTCCCCCAGCCCCGAACCAGCCTTCCTCATCAGTACTGTATATATCTGTGGCATGTGCAGCGTTTAACAGTTGGGCTAGTTTTCACAGAGACACACTGCCGCTGACCTGTGTGACGCTTAACCCCGAAGGTAACTGCAGTCTCCCTGTGTAAGATGTGAGGACTTCAGACCTCAAGCTGTGTGACGGTTTGTGTGTTGCTTTGATGACATCTCAAACTGAAAAGGTGTAAACTCTGCAAAACAAACACAGCAGAATTATTGAAGTAACCCCCCCCAGTCCCTCCCACCTTCTTTGCTAACCTCCCCCCCCCCCCCCCGGGCGGGCACCACCTCCGCAAAAACAAAACCCCCCCTCCCCCCCCCCCCCCCG